GGCCCGGTGGCCTGCCCCGCCCTGGTCCCCGGCCCCCAGCCCCCGGCGCCTGGGCACCTGCAGGCCCACGCACAGGTCCGCCACACGCCTGCCACCCCCGCTTGGCAGGTGAGCCAAGCTGAGTTGACATTTTCCACACTTTGTGAGTTTTACACTGTAATTTGACATAATTAATGCCTACATTACTGCTGATAATTTAGCTAGTTAATTAAACTCGGAGGAGATAATTAAGGAGAGGCTACTGCTTGGATTGCTAATTGTTTTTGTCATTATTTCAGGGGGCCGACAGCTGCCGGCTGAGTCATCCTGTTTTGTCAGCTGATGGGTCATGTGACACAGGGGTCCCTGGGGGCCCCCACTTCCAGGGGAGGGAGGCACGCAGCCGGCTACCTGGCTGCTGCCTGGAGCCCTGCCAAGCACTGCTGGCTGGTCCAGCCCCTGCCACTCCCCCTGTCCCCCCCATCTCAGCAGTGACAGCCGCCCTACCACTGTGGCTTCTGGGGCCCTCTGAGCCTGGGGTCACATAAAGTTCAGCCTGAGCAAGCTGGAGGAGAGGACCCCGCCCCACATCCAAGCCCAAAGGGTGAGCACCCCAGTCTCCTGCACAGTCAGCTGCGAGGTGGGAGCCCCAGGGGAGAGCCCTTGGGGAGAGTCCAGGCGTGGCTCCCTGCATCGTCCCAGGGGGAGGCCCAGGACACGTGACCCAGGTGCTCCTTTGCGACTCAGTTTCCCCTTGTCAAGGGACAGAGGCTGCCTACGACTCCCCAGTTTCCCTGGAGGGCCTGCTTTCCGGGGTGCTACCCCTCCACCCTCCACCCCGTGGCCCCCTTCCTGCTGCAGCCGCACGGCCCACCCCCAGCTCCACCGAGTTCTAGCAGCCTCTTGGTCCCTGGGTTCCCTCTGCCCTGAACATGCTCAGGCCACAGGCTGACCCCCGGGACCGCGGGGCTCAGGGCACATGAGGGTGTGGAGCAGCACCCCTAACGTCCCCCTCCACCACGATGTCCCCTGACGTGAGCGTTGGTTCCCGGGCCACATCTGGGGAGAGATGGCCCGGCGTGCGCCCAGGGACACCCAGCAGACGTGGCCATGCGTCCAGCCGGGCTTATCGCTCAGGCTCTGCAACCTCTGGAACCTCACCTCGGCTGAGAGCCCCCTGGGCCTCCTCACAATTGTTGGGGTCCCCGCGTGGTGGGACTGGGGCTGATTCTTCTTCAGTTTGGGGGTGGGGCAGCACTGAAGCCCAGCCCCACTGGTACCCCAGGGGCTACCCCGGTGGTCCCCACGGCCCCTCCTGCTTTGTCCTCGGGCTGAATGTACGTCGCAGGACCTAGTAATGCCTGTGACCCCAAGGGCACATCATGCTTGTTCCGTGTGGTGGTGTGTTTGGGGTGTACAGGTGTTGGGCCCTAGTGACAGTAAGTAAGAACAGCGTGCCGGTGGCTTGGGGCCTGGGAGACTTGGCCACTGCCAGGGGGTCCCTTTCCTGAGCACAGACCTGTGCCTGCCTGGCACCCCAGGTGTTCTCTGGGGTCCCAGGGAGCACCCGTGACGTCCACATCCCCAGCAACAGGACCAGCCCGGTTGCCCACGGCCGTCACGAGCTGGACAACACGCCCCCTGGGAAACCCTTCCTTGCCAGTCTCAAAAGCCCTACCTGCACCCCAGCACACCTGGGAGGCGGGTCCCAGCTCCCGACTTTGGCTACACAGACTTGCTGTGTGACATCAGGAAGGTTGCACAGCCTCTCTGAGCCTGGTTCCGTCAGTAACACCGAGCAGCTCGGGCGGCCCTCTGCCTCCCCCTGGTGGTGGAGAGCCACACCGCGTGGGCCCCAGGCAGGGCACAGGTCTCAGCTACAGGGTCAGGCTGCCCAGTGTCCAGCCCATCCTCGAGGTCATCATCCTAACACGCAAGTCTCCCCCCAGGGCCTCTGCTGAACAGCCCACGGCACCCTGAGCCAGAGGAATGAGCTCCAGATGTGCGCCCGCTGGGTCCCCGCTGACCAGGCCCCGCTGACCGCTCAGGGCGGCCCTCTCCCTCCATCGCCGGCCCTCCGGCCACACCAGTGGGGGTTTCGCTGTGACTGGAGGGCAAGCAGGTCTCTACCAGCACCGCTCATCCAGACACACCCATGTGACCTTGTCGATCCCACCCACACGCAGCCAGCCCACCAGTCCCCAAAGACTCAGCGAGGACGGCACGCTGGCCCGAGGCCACACAGCTGGGCAGCAGAGCTGTGACTGAGTCCATCGCTGCACCAAGCAGCCGCCTTCCCCGTCCCATGTCGCACCCCAACAACAAGCCCCAGGACCCCCGGCTGAGACCCTCCAGTGCCCTGTGAGGGGTGCAGCGAGAGCTCTAGGGGGCCCCAGCACACTCGGCCTGGGCCTCCGGCTCTGCTCCCCTGGGACACAAGGTCTTGACCCAGCCTGCCACCGGTGGGGGGTGTCGGCACTCTGCCCCTGGCAAGGGCCCACCAGGGCATCGTGACAGGTTCTCACAGTGGCTGCGGACGGCGCAGAAAGACACAGTCAGAACCCCGCCCTTCACACAGAAGGGGCGACCGGGACCCAAGGGGAAGCCGGGCTCTGGGGCACCGGGGGGGGCGGCGCTGGGCGAGGACTCAGGGCTGAGGGGCTCCGCTGCCCTTGGTCCTCTGCCCGACAGTGTCCTCCCTGCCGGGAGCCAGGGAGGTGGACAGCAGAGCCCACCGCTCAGAGCTGTCCATCCGGACCAAGGCCACAGCTAGGTCCGTGCTGTCGCAGACCTGGAACTCGGCCAAGGTGGGCACACGGAGGCAGAGCCAAGGCCACTTGGTCAGTTTCTTTATTGAGGCTGCTGGGGCCTTGGTGCGGGTCGCACTGCCCGGGGGACCCGTGGCCTGTTCTGCAGCTCACTCGGGGGTCCTGCTTCTGCTCCTCAGGGACCAGGCCTTTGACAAGCGGGACTTGGGCTTCTTCCTCTGGAGGTCTGAACGGTGGACATTGAGGACACTTGCCCACCTCTTGGCCACTGCCCACGTCCTTCCCATCCACCCACCACAGCCCCCACCCTGGCCCCCCGGAGCCTGCAGGAAGCCAGGCCCAAGGTCGGCCTGGAGTCTCACCCTCGCCCGGGGGACCAGCGGGCACCTTTGAGCACCCACTGGACTGGACATCCCTGGAGGACAAGGCCCCGCCAAGTGCTCCCCTCACCCTGACCCGGAGGCCACCAGCTGCTTCGCAGATCCATCATGTGACAGGGGACTCACTCCCTTAGGGTGAGCCTGCCCTCCTCGCGAAGCTGCCAAAGAGTGGCCCAGTCCCCCAGGAGGTTCGACCCCCTGGACAGAGCCCAGCACCCCCGCCTGCCCTGCACCCCCATTACCCAGCTTCTGGATCATGTTCTGTAGCATCTCGTCCTCCTCTTGTTCCCTGGAACAGGGACAGGGAGTGAGGGGCAGCACACCGTGCCCGGGGGGGACAGTGCCCGGGTCCTCGCCAGCCAGCCTCACACCTGAGCCCTGAGCCCCTGGCACGGGGTCACCTGCCCTCTCACCTGCCAATAAGCTACAGCTTGGCACTGCTCTCTCCCGCCCTGGGCAGACCCCTGCTGTTTCTGGAGACCCTCGTCCGTGACAAGGGGACAGGACCCTGCCCTCGGGGCCCACCTGCGAAATGCACAGGGTGGGTCTTGCAGACCCTCATCCGTGACAAGGGGACAGGAGCCTGCCTGCCCTCAGGGCCCACCTGCGAAATGCACAGGGTGGGTCTTGCTCATGAGGCCAGGAAGGTTCTAAGCATGAGGTGACCTGTCTTGGCCTGGCTGGAAGGGGGCTGGGCCAGGCCCACCTGAGCCCCACCGCACCTGGGCCCCACCGCACCCGGGCCAGGCCCACCTGGGCCCCACCCTACCTGAGCCCCACCACACCTGAGCCCCACCCCACCTGAGCCCCACCGCACCTGAGCCGGTCCTCGTCCAGAAAGTCGACGATGTCGCTGCGGTCGTTTACGGTTCTCACGTACTTGTTCAGCAGATCCTGCTCCCTCTGCCGGTCCTGGGGCGACTTCAGATTCTCTGCCGGGACAGCCTGCCATCAGCGGGAGCCCTGCTGTCCCACCCTGCTCTGGATGCAGTGTCCCCACCCCCAAAACGTCATGCTCCTCCGCTGAGCAGGGGGTAGGGTCTTGGGGCATCTGGGGCAGAGCGCGTGGCCTATGGCGGGCTCTTGGCAACGCAGACTGAATGAATGATTGCACAAATACACGAATGACTCTATCAGAGGCTGAGTGTTGCTGGTCTGTCTCTGGGTCACCCCACCATCCTCACAAATCTGCCCATTTCAGGGATGTGGGAACTGCGGCTCCGGACAGAGGGGTTACTGCCAAGCCCCCCCCCGCCCTGCCTGCAGCCACGCCAGCCCACGAGGTATGCCTGCATCTCACACTCGGCCCTCGGGGGCTGGGAGCGAGCGCCGCCCCACTCCGCAGGGGGTGAGGCCCAGGCAGCGAGGCGGAGCCACGCACAGCTGGGAAGTGGGCAGCTGAGGCTCCAGGCTCCAGGGACGTGCGCCTAACAGCAGCGTCGGCCATCCCAACGGTGGCCAACCTCCAACCCCGGGGCCGGCAGGAAGGCGCCCTGGAAAGCCCGCACCGAGCCCGCCTCTTGGACTGAGGCCCCGCCCCCCGCTGGCCGGGGCTGGGGTGCACGCACCCGGCTTGGCCATCAGCCGGCGCAGCTCGCCCTCCAGGTCCAGCTGCTGCTCCTCCAGGCGCTGGTCCCGGGCCCTGCAGAGGTGCGGAGGCGTGAGGTCGGGCTGGCCACCCCACCCTGCGCCCCGCCTGCTCCCGGAGGCCTGCGGGCTGCGCCCCTCACTTGTACATCAGCTCCGACTCCAGCCGCAGCAGCAGCTGCTTCTCGTGGATGAGCCGGAACCAGTCCACCATGAGCGCGTCCTCCGAGGCGTCTGCGGGAGCGGGGAGAGGGGCCGGACTGGGCGCAGTGTCCCCGGGGAGCTGGCTGCACCAGGGCTGGGCAGGGGGCGCCCGCCCACGGTGCTTGGGGCGTGAGGGGAGCGGAGGGCACGGCTCACCCCCCTCGGCCGCGCGCAGGCGCTTCTCCAGCTCCACGCCCCTGAGCTCCAGCACGTCCAGCTGCCCCTGGATGCTCTGCATCTGCCTCTGGATCTCTTCCTGGGGCACGTAGTCGGGATGCAGCTAGGACGAAGGGGTGATGGGTGAGGCCAGTGCCCGGCCTCCAGGGCGCTGAGCTCCCCGCCATTCCTCACCGCCCCCCCCTCCCCCGGCCACTCACTCTGACAGGAGAGGTCACTGCCTTGCTAGGTGGAGCAGGGACACCAGCAGGGTCCAAGGGCCTCCCTGGAAAAGGCACAGAACAAGTGTCCTGGATCGGGGTCGCCAGGCCCAAGGCAACCTGGACGTGTCCTGGAAGGGGGTCTGACCTCCGGCAGCTGGACCCCCCACTCCACTATGTCCCCCACGCCACCCCGGCTCCCCTACTCCATTCGGCAGGCCCCTGGGCAGGGTGCCCAAAGGCGCGAGCTCACAATCAGATGCAGCAGCACAGACGCCCCACCAGCACCCCGGCCGTCCTGGGTGCCAGTTGCCAAGAGCAAATACGCCATCATCGCCAAGTCTCTGCAACTCGCGCGCCAGGAGGAAGGGCCGGGGCCGGGGCCGGGTCCCACAGGCCCCCTGCCCACCTCAGGCCTGCGAGCTTGGCCGCCTCCGGGCGAGAGCGGCTCCTTGCTGCCCTGGCTCGCCCTCCCCCCATGCCAGGCCTGATGACCTCCTGTTCGTCCTTCATGTCCCCACTGGGCACCTCCTCAGAGGAGCCGCCTTCACCTGCACCCCAGCAGAAGTGGGGTGGTGGCCCGGGCTGACCTGGTTTGTCCTGAGGAGGGGGCCACCCCTCCTCCTCTTTCCGGCTCCGAGCCGGGGCCTCCTGCACCCAGGGCCGCGGCTGCAGCCAGTCGCCAGAAACGTCCAGGTTGGCAGGGATGGCGAGCTTCCTGCGGCGGGAAGGGGAGGGGGCCGGAGAAGGGGGTGCAGCTGCTCGCGGGCGGGAGACAGAGCCACACGTCAGGCCGGCAGGCCTGGTGTCCTCCCGACACTGCTTCCCTGGGCTGGGGCCACCCACAGGGCACCACAGGGTCAGCCCCACAGCCCTGTGCCCACATCCTGCCCAACGGCCATGCCCAGCAAGGGCAGAATCCTTGGCACAGAGAAAGATCACATAGAAAATGGGACGCAGGGGCCACCAAGTGCAGGGAACAGACACGCTCACACACACAACAGACACACACCACTGCCCACGAGGGACAGCCAGCTCCTCTGGCTGATCAGGACGACGACCCCTCCCCCACTATCCAGGGGACACCACTGCAGGGCCCAGCCCCCAACAGCTCCCCCAGAGGAGACCAAGCCGGGCCCGCAGGCATCAGGCCCCAGCACTACCTGAGAGGCTGGGCCGGGGCTCGGCCGGGCCCGGCGTCCGCTCAGGCGGCACGGGGGTCACAGTGACGTGGACAGGGGCCTTCCAGGGCACATTCCCCGCCCTCGGCTCTCCCGGGACCCGTGGCTCCTTCAGCTCCAGGGCCCTGGATGGAGGCGAGGGGTCATCTGAGGGACGGGCAGCCACATGTGGACGAGCCTGGAGTCAGCACGCCGGCCACGGGGAAAGGCTGTGGTGCACCCCAGGGTCACGCACCACATGACGCCCAGGGCGCAGGTGCAAGCGCGTGCTCAGGTGCCCACGGCTGGTGCCCAGATGGCTAAACCACCCAGGCCCCAGCCCCTCGTGTGTGCACACGGCCCGTTACCCACCACGCACGGTACACACAGGGCGGCCACCCGGCACGGCCACCCCTGGAGCTACATGCCCAGCAATCAGTGTGGACCGAAGGCCCTGCTGACCAGCCACCTGCGGCACGCCCGGGGAGGCTGCCACGCCCTCGCCCCCCTTCCTGTGCAGACGGGGTTCCGTGGGGAGCCGCTGCTCAATGTGCGGGCGGGATCCTACCCTGCTCCAGAGCCAGGCCCACTGAACGTGTTCCTGTCCCTCAGCCACCAAGGCTGGCTCACATGGGTTAGGGCCCGCCGCAGCCACCCGCCCTCTTGACTTGGTAGGGAAGGAATGTGGCTCTGTGTCACTGAGGCCATACGAACTGTCCCATCACTCAGGCCAGTATGAGCCATCCCCTCTCTCAAGCCCGTGCGAACTGTCCTGTCGCTGAGGTTGGGGTGACTGTCCCCTGCCACTCAGGCTGGTATGAACTGACCCTTCACTCAGGCCCATGCGACTGTCCCTCAAGCGGTGTGGGCCAGCCTCTGCTGCCACGGGGGCGGTGCACGCGTGATGTGCACACGTCCTGCTCACGGGTGTGGTCGGCGGGTGCGCGTGCGGCCTGGCCCCGGGAGCATTCGCCGAGCGCCTGCTGTGTGCTGGGCCCGGCGCAGCACGAGCCCACAGGCCCAGGCCCGGCTGCCCACCCCTCACCTCTCAGCGGGGCTGCTCTTGTCCACGGGCTTCAGGAGGCCCCTCCATCTTGCTGGCCCGTCCTCCTGGCCTTCCTGGGGGCTGGCGCTCGGGCCTGGGAGGGGGCAGGGAGACAGGTCATATTGGAGTCGAGGGGTGTTTGGGTAAGGGGGAGTCTGCTGGGAAAGGCTGGACGTCACCTGTCCCCTCTTCCTGCAGCCTTCCCTTAGCTGCCTGCCAGCGGGCACAGGACCACCGGCCTGGCCGCCTGTGCTGTGTGTGCCTGGAGGAACCCCATCCCCTCTCTGGGCCTCCGCTGTCCCTGTTGCCAAACAGGCAAGGGCGCGTCAAGGGGAGCCCCGTGTCGGTCTGGCTGTCCGTGCGTCCGCAGACCGCTTCCTACACCCCGTGCCCGACGTCCACAGAAGGCAGACGCGTACCCTTTGCCAGTGAGGCCTCTGGTCTCAGCCTGGAGCCAGCACCTGCCCTGCTGACCCCCGAAGACACAGCTGAGGTCTTCACAGCCGCCTGGGGCAGCGTGGGCGTCTTCAAGGTACTCAGGAGGGCCTGAGGCTCAGTCCTTGCCGGGGGGCGAAAGGCCTGGGGAGACGCCAGCGGTGCTGGCTTAGCGGATGGACCTGCTCGTGGCCCTTCAGCTCTGGGGTGGCAGTTCAGAGCAGGGGAGGCAGCCGGGGAGGGCCTGTGGGTATGAGAGCCAGTATCAGGCACGGAGCCCAGCCCCTCCTGCCACAACCCGGGCAGGAGCCTCTCAGCCTTCCTGGGCAGCTGGTTCCCAGTGCCTGACATCCTGAGGAAGGACAGACGCCCCTGAGGGGTGAGGGACAGGCCACAGGCATCCATTTCTGGCACGTGTTGGCACCTGTATGCCCTGTTTGACTCTGGTGTCAGCAGAGGTTTAAAGGCCCCAAACACATCATGCGTGGGTTGTGCGGGTGGGGGCCGTACCCCAGTACCCCCCCAACTGCCTCAAGCCAGGCTGGCCTAGCACAATCCGTGCCCCCCCAGCTGCCTCGAGCAAGGCCGGCCTTGCACAATCTCTAGGCCTTTGGTCCCCCTGGGAGTCCCGGGCGCCACCGGCTGATCCAGTGAGGTCGGCAGCTCTGAGCTGGGAATACTGTCCCCCCAGAAAGGGGCAGCATGAGGCGGCAGGCACAGCGCTGTCAGCCAGCTGGTCTGAACCCCCTTACTTGCTAGGCGACCACAGCGAGGTGAATGGTGTCCCCAAATTCATGTGCACCTGGCAACTCAGTATGATCTTATTTGGAGACAGGCTCTTTGTGATCAAGCTGGGATGCGGTCATCCCGGATTAGGGGGGCCTTGCGACAGACAGAAAAGCAGACACAGAGAGAGGGCATGTGACAGCAGAGATGGAGGACGTGGCCACGAGCCCAGGGACACCTGGGGCCCCCTAAGCGGGAAGAGGCAGGAAGGACTTTCCCCTCGGGCCTCAGGAAGGAGCATGGGTGGCCCTGCCGACACTTCCTCTCAGACTCGTGGCCTCCAGAAGTGAGAGGGACAGTGCCTGTTGGCCTGGCCCCCGGTCAGTGGTGCTGTGTTCCAGTCAGGGGTACAGGGACTCCTTCACCCTGTCACGGCGTCCACTCCATGTCCAGTGTGCAGAAGGCACTGGAACACGGGCAGGGGTGGCTCAGGGCCCCACTGGGGGCAGATGGGCACACTCAGGCCACACCCAGCCTGCTTCGTCTGAGTGCCTCGTGGGGGCCCCAGGGGGCAGTGTCACCGCCGCCCGGAGCATGCAGACGGTGGCTTTGCAGTGACAACCATGGGCCCCTCCTGCTGACCGCCAGGCACACCTGTCTCATTCTCTGGGCAGGGAAACTGAGGCGGGGGCCTGAAGCCCTACTGTCACACGTCCAGGCGAGGCGGAGCCCTGGACCCTCCCCAGCTGCCCCTGACCCCTCTGGCCTCCTGGTGCCCCAGTGGCTGGTGAGCAGGTAGCAGCCACACCCCTACCCACCTGCCAGGCGCCTGAGTGCCAGCCTCCCCCAGCCCTGGAAGGGCCTTGCGGAGGCAGCTCAGTGCCTGCGCTCTGCTGACCACCCCGGAGGGAGCATCTGCCGGAGCTGGCGCCCTCACGGTTGCGCCCGCGATGGGGGCAGGTCGAGGTGTCTGGACAGACTTCTCCTGGGCTGGCTGCGTCCTGGAGGCCGGTGGGGCAGAGGCTGGGGTGTCCGCTGGGCCTGGAGGTGCTGGGCTCACACTGAACTTGGTCTGAGGGGCTGGCACTCGGGTGGTCGCTTGGCCTTGTGGTGTGGCCGGGCGAGGGCCCGGGGCACTCGAGGTCACAGCGGGACGGGGGCTGATGGCCACCATGTCCTGTGCCGGTGATGACCACCCCGTCGGGGAGCTGTTGGTCACACGTATGCTGGCTTTGCCACTCACAGGGCCCACCGAGAGCCTGGGCCCAGCTGGACTCCCCATGGGGGAGGTAGCTGCAGTGGGGACAATGCCTCTGGCAGCTGAGTTGCCCACCACGGGCTGCCAGGAGGTGGGCTTGGCTTCTGGCCCCACATCTCTCTGTCCACGCACCCCCTGGGCCTTCTGCGGGGCACTGGGGGGCTTAAAGTCTGTGGGGACGGCCCCTGGCTGGCTGGCGGCCAGGCCTGGCAACTTAGGGCTCACAGAGGTGGCTTCGGGGGGGTGGCTGGGACAGACGAAGACGCCAGGCTCCGCTGTGGCTCTGTAGCGGCCCGAGTGCAGCGTGTTGGAACAATGTTTACACCTGGGGGCAGAGGAAACCGGCAGCCCTGGCTGGCGCATGTTCACGCACGCACGCACGCACGCACGCGCGCACGCCTTCCCGTGACCAACTCCCGGATGCTCCTGTGTGCACGCCTAAGGTCGTTCATTCACTCAATGAACACCTCTCACTGCTGGTGACCATCTGTCACAGACTCCACCAAGGACCTCATCAGACACACAAGGAAGAGCTCATGCCTGTCCACTCTCACACACGCACGCGCACACACACGCTCACACACGCACGCACACATGCTCACGTGTGCACACATTTGCTCACACATGCACACACATGTGCAAGTGTGCGCACTCACACACACAAGCACACACGTGCACAAGCACACACGCACGCGCACGCGCACGCGGGCCCCACCTGAAGCAGCTGCGGTGGTAGAGCTTCCCGTCAGCCAGGTGTCGCTGCACCAGGTGCACGTGCAGGCCGCAGACCGCACAGGTGCTGCTGACTGAGCCACCTGCCGAGGCCTGGCCCTTGGGAGGGGTGCCGGCTGACATTTCTGAGCTCCCCCAGGGCCCAGCCCTCCCTCCTGACCCCACCTGGAGCCCATCAGCCGGCAAGAAGATCCTGTTTTACAGACTGGACAACCGAGGCCCCGGAGGATCCGAGGCTCGGCCCAGGGTCTCCAGCCTGGCCCGAGGGGGTGGGCTGAGGGCCTGGCACTGGGAGTCCCAACCCCTCCAGTCCCCGCCCCAAGGCACAGAAAGCTAATCCAATTTCCCGCCTCCCACCAGGCTTTGCTCCAGCTCCCGGAGCCTGGTGTGACAGCCGAGGAAGGCAGGGGGCGCCCATGCACAAGGTGTCACCCCCTCTTCGAGCTCCGCCTCTGAAAAGTGGGGTCTCAGCTCACGTTGCAGATGGTCGAGCAGTAAAGGGCACACCCAGCTTTCTTCCCTAGCCCCACCGCAGAAACCCACTCGGAGCCCAGAAGGGTCTGGGTTCGAGGCTCCAGCTTGGCTCAGCCTCAGCTGCCCGAGCAGGCGGGACTGAAGGGGCCGGAGCCACCTGGTGGGCTCCTGACAGACGGCAGCCGAGGCCGTGCCAACCAGAGGGGACCCCACCCGGTCCCGGGCACCATGGCTCAGGGGCCGCACTGTCCCCAAGCCCCGCGCAGTGGGAGCCAAGGAACCCAGGAAGCAGAGGAGGGCGGGGCACTTACAGCCTTCAGCGGGTGGTCCTCTGCGCCCCCATCCTTCCGCGGGACAGTAGGGTTTGTGCTGACCGGGGACAGCGGCTGCCCCCGGCCTAGGGCACGTGAGGGCATGGCCGGCTGGGGTGGGGCCCTCTTTCCGGAGGGTTCCTCGCCAGCATCGGACGGGGACCTCTTCACGCCAGCCATGCCTCCAACTGGCACAAGACACAGAGGGTCAGGGGGTCCGGCCCAGCCCTACGCTCTGGCTCTGAAAGTATCTGGGCCCCCTGCCTGACTGCCCTGAAGGTGGGGTGTCCAGCACCAGGCCTGGAGTTGGGGGAAGGGGGTGGGGGGCAGCTCCTGCTGGCTGGGGGCCCAGGGGGAGGGGCAGCCCCAGCCAGATTCCCAGCAGGGCCTGGCCTCACCCAGGCCCTCCCCTTCCCCACAGCGAGCCCCTGATCTGGGGTCAGGGAGAAGGGACTTTTCTTTCTCCACAAAGTGGGAATGAAACAGTAGGGCTGGCCCGGAGCCCAGAGGGACTCTGGGGATTTCTAAGGCCCGGGAGAGGAAGGCGGGGGCAGCGTGAAAGCCCAAAGCGGCCGCCCCTCCCAGGCAGGCCCACGGGGCCGGCGGCTCCCTGCCAGCGCCAGCCTGCTTTCTACAGGGCCAAAAGTCAGGACCAAATTGGGGCAGGAGGGGGAGGCATCTGGAGTGGGCCTGGGGGCCCCGTGTGGTGGCCGAGCTCCTGGAGGCAGGAGCCACGGGCGCAGACCCAGGGGAGCAGAGGCCAGCAGAGGCCAGCGCGGAGGCCAGGCAGGCGCTGGGCACATCTGCTCAGTGGACAGCTGGGAACGGGAGGGCTGAGCCGGCTCTGGCCGGGGTGCGTGGGAGGACATGTTCCTGGCGCCTTGCTCATCAATTGTCACTTGCAGCAGGACGAGGGGCCCAGGTCCCATGGGAAGCTGCAGCACTGGGAGCTGCACACGCCTGCCCCGCCCATGTGCTGGTGCTAGCTCTGGGGGACAGGGGCGCCCGACTCACTGGGGGCGCGTCCGTGGAAGTAGTTGTAGTACTGGGACACGTAGGTCAGGATACTCAGCCGGTCCGGCACCTTCAGAGCCACCATGTCCTCCGCGTCCAGCAGCGCTGGGATGCCCAGCTCCTCCTCCGCCACGCGGAAGGCCTGGGGGAGGGGCGGTCAGCAGGGAGCAGCTGGGAGCCCCTCCTCCTGGTCAGGCCACCAGCTCCACTGAGGGAGGCAGGGAGGGGCCAGGGGCAGGAGTCCTCCTCCTCGGAGCCCAGAAGGGTCTGGGCTCAAGGCAACAGCTCTGCTTGGTCTCAGTTTACCCGACCACACAGGACTGAAGGGGTCAGGAGCCGGTCCCGAGCGGGCACCCCGAGGGGCGAGGGCTGGCCCTGCCTTCCGAGCATCAGCCCATTGGGGACAGGGCTCATTTTGCAGCAAGAGGCTGAGCTGGCTGGCACGGGGCGGGGTTCGCAGCCAGGGGTGTGGGGCGGCCTGACAGCCATGGTCAGGACCCTGGCGGCTGGGCTGAGGGGCCGGGGCAGTGGGGCAGACGCTGGGCTACCCCAGGACCCACTGGGGGCCCTGCCCTCCCAGAGCCACCTCTGGATCCCACTCTGCCTTGGGCAGGAAGGAGAGTACAACCACGCCCACCCTCCCTCCCCACCAACATGAAGGGGGCCCAGTGGGCCTGGTACAGCTGAGGCTCTTCTGGGGAGCTGGGGTCATGGGCTCAGGACCAGCTGTGGAGTTCGGTAGCGAGCCCTGGATCCACCACTCCCCAGGTGCCAGGCAGGCACCCCCGAAACGCGGGCTGGGGGCTGGGCAGGCGCCCCTGGGACGTGAACTGGGGTCTGGGTGGGCGGCCCTGGGACGTAGGCGGGGGAGCCAAGTGGGCACCCCTGGGACCAGCCGAGCAGTTGTGGGGCAGGAGCAGGAACTCACCAGTTTGTTGTTGTCATAAATGTTCTCCTTCCTGAGAGCACTGAAGTTTCTGGAAGATAAACACACAGGTGTCCCACAGAGCTCAGAGTGCAGGAAGGAGGGACCTGGGGGGTCATCCTGCCCAGTGGGGCAACCGAGCCATGGGGGTGTCGGGGCTGAGTGCAGCCTTCCCGTGCTGAGGGAGGTCGCCGTGACCTGGAGGCGGGCAGGCCGGCGGCCCTCACCGCGGCTCCTGCCCAGTGGGAGGTAGCTCCGCGCTGCCTCCAAACCCTGCGGAGCGCACCGGCCCGGTGGCCCACGGGAGCTCCCGGGACGAGGACCATGACGTGCGGTAGGGACAGAGCTCGGCCGACCCCGTGTCACTCGCTTTGTCCCCCGGGACCTCCCGTGTTATCGGCTCACACCCTGCGAGCTACCACTGTCCGCCTCGCACGGATGAGGAAACTGAGGCAGAGGCTCTATGACTCGCCCCAGGTCACACAGCAGTGAAGACCAAAGCCAGGCCGGGGCCCCCACGTCCTGACATTTGAGGTTCGGCCGTTTGGGGAGGGCCCTTAGGCACCTGCCAGACACCAGCTGCCTCACCCTCAGGCGGAGGGTGCCGAGCCCTCGCCCACACTGACCACAGCCACAGGGCGTCCCGTGGGCGGGGGACCCACAGCGATTCTTTGGAAAGGAGGGAGGCCCGGCCAGCTCCAGGCCCCGAGCCCCCGGCACCCCTGGGGGTCCATGCCCACGCCCGGCACGGCATGCCAGCCCCTCGCACGCCCAGGAGGACGCTCTGAGCAGAAGCACGGCTGGACCCCAGCGGGACCCGGCCCAGCCCGAGACAGCTGATTCAGCGCTGTCTGTCTGTCCACGTTGCTGTCTGTGGGGCCTGAGGCGGCCTTGCCGCTTCTGCATGAACTGGATGGTTCTGGAAGCCTCGTGGCCTGGGAGGGGGCTCAGGCTGAGAGCACGCGCGAAGACACCGCAGCTGCTGGTGATGAACGCGAGGCCCCTGGCTGACGGCCAGTGGGACGCAGAGACCCTGCAGCCACCTGGCTGCGATCCCATCCCGACCCTGACGGCCTGTCACACAGGAAGGAAACTGAAGCCGGCGGCAGCAGCCCGCCCTCGGCCGCACGGTGGGGGGAGGCCAGGCCGTGGTTTGTCCACCTCCCCGAGCAGCCCCGCCGTCCATCAAGCTGCCCGACTCTTCCGAAAGTCCCCCGTTTCCGCCTGGAACACCTCCCGGGTAACGCGTTCCAGATGCTACGGCCACCAACGAGCACAGAGAGGGCTTTTGTGCACAGGACAAGACGGTGGACAGATCTGTCTCTGGGCGGACAAATGACCGGAAGGCTGGGCGACGCCTTTGGCAGCCCCGCCTGCACACCCATCACCCACCCCGAGTTCATGCCCCCAGCACCCACGGCAGGTGGAGCTCAGGGCTCTCAGCCATGCCCTCCTCTGTCCTCAGCGCCTGGGGGTCAGAGTCCCCTTCCCACCCCTCCCCTGTCCCTTTGAGGGCTCAGTCCCTCCTCCAGGCCCTCCCTGGGTCACCGACCTGCAGGCGTCCAAAGAGATGCCCTGGTGGCCAGAGGGCAGGATAACAAGTTCTGTTTTGTCTCCAAACAAGGGGCAGCCGCCCCTCTGCCTCCCACATCGGCCTCAGGCGGCCAGTCAGGCAGCCCGTTGCCTCACGGGGCCCCTTCTTCCTCCAGACCCGGACTGAGCCCCTCAGAGCTCCAGGCGGCAGGTCGGAGGTGAGCGAGTCAGGGCTGCAGCCCTGCCCCTCCCCTAAAGCTCAGGGACCACCACCCTCAGGACCAAGTCCAAGCTGCTGCCCAGCCCTCGAGACCTCCACGCTGGGCTAGACCACCCTGGCCAGTCCCTTCAGGCGCCCAGTGTCCCACGGTGGACCCTGCTCTGCTTGTGGCTGGTCGAGGCTGAGCGCACGTCCCTCGCAGCATGGGGTCAGGGCCACCACGGGGAGCCTGAGGCTGGTGCCAGCAGAAATCACGGGAGCCGCAGCCTGGAGTGGAGACCACACCCAGGCCTCAGGAAGTCCAACCTGCTCAGCTTCCACCGGCCGGGGGCCCTGCAGGGAGGGGCGGACTGTGCCCCCCCAGACCTGCAGGAGTCCCCACCCCCACGACCTCGTCACGGGACCTTGTTCGGAAATGGTCTTTACAGAGAGAACCGACTTTAAGCGCAATCACCAGGGTGGGCCACAGCCTGACATGGCAGGGTCCTTATGAAAAGGGGACTTGGGACAGCGAGACGCACAGTGGGAAGATGATTCAGGGACACGGGTGACGGCGACGTGGCCAGCCTGCGGCGCTGTGTTCAGGCAGGCCTAGCGGACGGGCGCCGGCTTCGGCTGGCCCTGGGAGAGTGGCCGGCTCGTGGTTAAGGCCTGCTGGACCACAATGCCTCATTGTCACCCCCGCCCAGCTGTGAGCAGCTGGCACTCGGCGAGGCGGCCACAGCCCGAGAACCAGCACCAGGTGGGCTGGGGCCCAGGTGCCCTCCCGAGTGAGAGCATCTTCTTAGCTGGACTCCCGTAATTTAAAAGCAGGTATGTTCTGATACAGGGGCCAGGCCTGGCTTGCTGCGGGGCGGGCTTCTGTGTATCGCGTGCCCCTCAGCGCTGGCCGGAGGGTGGCCTCGTGTCTGCATGTGCTCGCCGGGTGGCCCGCCAGCCGAGTGCCCAGCCCCAGCCCTCCCTGACTGCTTCCCACAGCCACGGCTGACCAGGGCTGTTGACCTCCGACTGTCCTCATGCTGTTTACTTCTTGGAACAAAATGTAGCCGCGGGAAGGGGGGGCGTGAGGGGGGCAGACAGAGGAGGAGCCGTCCCGCGCCTTCTCCAGGCCCCTCCAGCACATCTGGAGTTAATCCCACCGGGAAAGGAGCAGGGATGGCTGGAGAGAGACAGGGACAGACTGAGCACAAGCTGGAGACAGGCACAGCAGAAGGATGGGGAGGGACAGCGGTGGGGGAGAGGGACAG